TTCTGTAAAACAGGGCCAATGACCACAAGGCCAATGACCGCACAGGCCTCGTTCACAGTGAGAGGACGAAGCAATTGGACTGTGGAGGGTCTGTTCCTCATCCTGGTGCATTTGAAGCTACCAGAGAGCATGGGTCACCAGACAGCTGAAAGGCCTTGGTTTTGAACACTGGGAGAAACATTAGGACGATTGATGCAAGAGGGAAAGGAGAAGGAAGGTCAGCCAGGGGGCTCCTGGTGGCGGGAACATGAGGGGCTAGATACACACCCCAGGAAGCACCAGGTAGTAGGAGTGCTGTAGTCCCTGCCTAGGAAGGCCCTGGGAGGAGAGGAAGTAGTAGTATAGCAGAGGCGAGGATCAGAGCTGCCTGCCCAGCACTTCAGACAGCGCGAGGCGGGGTGACGCTGGGCTGGATGGTAGAGGACCCTAAAAGAACGTGGCTGCTGCAGTCCATTAGCACTTGGGATGAGTGTACAAGCATTCCTGCTATATTTTTATTTCAAAGAGCTTTATGGTTAATAGAATATACACTAAAACAAAATCAGAAAGAAAACCAATAAGTAAACACCCAGACACAGAAAGGAGGCCGAGCCTCCCAGGGAAGGGTGGCTCCTGACGTGGTCAGGTGGGGGCTTCCTGGAGCACGTCAACCTTCCTTGGTGGGGGTGGGTTCTGCACTGCCGACGGCTGGGGTTCCTCCACTCTGATCATGGTGGCCACATGAAGAGCTGTAGTCACCTCTAGGTTCTCTCAGGAGGGCAGCGCAGGGTCACAAACTGATCTCCATTCATGGCTCGCTGCCTCAAACCACAGGGCCACAGTTGTGCTCCTCTTAAAGATGGCCAGATGACATTGTCAGGCTCAGCATAATCCCCAGGGGATCTCGGACACCAATGGTTGTGCTGCCAGCCCAGACAGTGGAAAACACCCCGCCCCATGCTGTCCTGGGCCCAAAGGGGATTCTGGATGTGCGGGCCACAGCAGCTCAGCACACAGTCCTCGGAGAAAGCCAGGCTCACGGACCAGTCACCTAGGAGTGTCCACAGCTGTCTCAGATCTATCAGGGTCAGAAGCTCCTCCTTTGGTCTCAACGATACCCTAAACTTCCCTGCCTCAGCTCAGCGGCTCAGACCACTACTCCTCCCAGCTACTCACCTGCTTCCCTAGGGATGACACAGCCCTTCCTGTTGCTCGGCAACGAGCAGGGGTTCATGAAGAGGCACCTCACTGGTCCCACTGACGTCATGCTGGGCCACATAATTTGCTGCACCAACCAAAGGGAATGGGAAGTGTATTAATCTGATGGAAGCCGCAGGAGTCCAGGCCTGTCTTCTCCTGCAACAAGGGAGCAGCTGGTCCCACCTGAGGGCTGCTTCCTCCAGGATCTCAGATGATCAGATGTGAGCAGAGCTACAACTACATCACACAACACGAGCCCCAAAGGAAGCTGTGATTGAGGCCACAGAGACCTGGAGGTGTTGCTGCAGACAGCCTGGCAATGCTGAGCGCTCTAGGTGAACTTTGTTTCCCAGTCCAGTAAACAGCCTGGGGTCAGGCAGTGGCCTACCCAATCACTCCAGTATCAGCAGCACCGAGAGCTGTTCCTGGTTAAGCTTTGCCCTATTGAGGTGTAGATGGGTAGCTTTTGGGCTCCCTTGAATACCACACTGAATATCAGCTTTGCCCATGTCCAGGGGTTACTTCTCTAGGAAATATGACCCTCTCACACAGCATTCCCACTTGCTTCCTAATAGGATTCTCCCTCACAACTCTGTAAGATAAAGAGGTGAGACCACTTGGCAAGTTCAAGAACGGAGGTCAGAGAGATTTTCACATTTCTGATCACATGGTTACCTAACAGCAAAGAAAGAATGGGCGCTTCCACTTTCTGGGACCCAGTTCTGAGTTCTTTTCCTTCCTATCCTTGAACTCAACTCCAGAGAAGACAGAACACAGCTCTTTCTCACCACCCACACCTCCTTGGTATCTGCCTTCATCTGCTCCCAATGTCCACTCTTATGGGAGATACTTTAACACCCATCATCCCTCTTTTTTTTTTTTTTGAATTAAGTGGGGTGGGTAGCCAAAATGCCTTCTCTGCTTTAAAAAGGGACCATTTAAAGAAGAGAAAGAAAGAGAAACACCCAAATTTAGTTCCTGTCTGGTCTTTGTAGATTTCAGGTACCAATTCTGAGCTCCCACAGAGTGAGTGAGGCCTTTTGTTCTCCACAAAGGGCATGTTCAAGAGAACAGGCTCCAGTCGGCCTCACCAACCAGATTCTCTTAAAACGGCAATAAAGAGTCGCTCTTATTTTGGTGGCTTATTTAAGTCAAAGCTGATGCTGAGGCGTCACATCTTCCTACAGCAGCAACCACGTATTGATCACCTGTGTGCACAAGGCATTGTGTGAGTGGGAGTTGAGTTAATTTTAAGCACCTCCTAATTGCCCTCTGGGTGGCCAAGGTTAAGGTAATTCTTAATCAAAACCTTTGTATCTATCTTTACCGAGAAAACTATAAGGGCAGTGCTTCTCCCTGTGGCCACATGCTGACATCACCAGGTGAGCTTTTAAAAAGAGTGGTGTCTGAGTCCCTCTCCTGCGTTTCTCATTTAATTGGTCTGGGATGTGGCCTGAACATTGGGGTTTTCAAAAGTTTGCCATGCGGATGTGATTGGCAGCCGAGGTTGTAAACCATTGCTTTCAGGACAGATCCATCCCCAAATTATCTCTGGTCGTGGCGAGAATCATGAGATAAATGAAGTTAAGCCCCAGGCCCTCCTGGCCTAACTCATCAACTGTATTTGAGGCTGCGGGTATTGAAAGAAGCCCCTCCAGGAGGGTTAAGCAATCTGGCTCCAGATGCGGCTCTGTTCTGCTCATCCCTTGACTTAAGCTGGTCTAAGAATTAAGGAAACTGAACTACATCAGTGTTTTCCAAACTTTTTGTCATCGATGACTTACTTTTCAAAGAATCTTAATTGACACATATTATTTGTACATATTTAGGGGCACAATATGATAATTGGATACGGGTATACAATGTGTAACGATCAAATCAGCATATTTAACATTTGCATCTCCTCAAATTTGTATCAGTTCTTCGTGTTGGGCATCTTTAGATTCTCCTGGTTATTTTGAACTATAGAATTAATTTTTGTAGACTTCAGCTACCCTACTGTGCCATGGGCACTGGAACTAAGTGCCCTTTTCTAACTGTATTTGGGTACCCATTATCCAACCTCCCCATCTCCCCATCCCCTCCCCTTCAGTCTTTAGTGACTGCTGTTCTACTTTCTACTTTTGTGAGATCAGATCATAACACAAAGTCATAGTAGATGATACAGCCGGTGCTGCATAAAGACCAATGGAACAGAATAGAGAGCCCAGACATCAGTCCATGTGCTCGCAGTCAATTGATTGTTGACAAAAGTGCCAGGAACATACATTGGAGAAAGAACAGTCTCTTCAATGGACGATGCTGGGCAAACCAACACATATATGCCAAGCAATAAAACTACACCCCCATCTCTCAGCATGCAAAAATCAACCCAGGAGGGACCAAAGACCTAAATGTAAGACAGGAGCCATAAAACTACAGTGACTGACTTCTAAGCCTCCTCTTCCCACGAGGATTTAAAAAAAATATTAGATCTCTTTGATAGAATTACTGTGAATAAATGAGTTTTATTTTCAATGTTTCTTTTTACATTAAAAAAAAAAAAAAAAAAAAAAAAAGCTCGTCAAATTCCAAAGTGTTAATTGTGAATTAACATCCTCCCAATCAAATAAATTGAAGACATTGTCAGAGTTTAAGGAAGGGGCCAGGTGTTTTGACCTTGCCACATGTCATTTTCCTCTTCCTCTTTTGACTGATGCTGTGTGAACAAAGTACCAAGGTGGCTGGGCAGCAGATAATACTCTTGGCTCATCTTCAAAGTATGGGGGTGCCTACCCCCACCTGGGAGCTAGGCATGGCCGATCCTTCCTCTCTCACTACTTCCACACCACCTAGATCTCTGCCAGGGACCCTCAGCGACTCCAGGGAGGCCACATTTAATGGTCTCTGTGTGGCCCTGCCACAGAAAAACAGGGCCCAGAGGGCCAGGCACTCCCAATCTCCCCAAGAGGCTCCTCCCTCACTTTCCGTGGAGGCAGGAGGTGTGGGGCCACCTCCACAGCCACCCCTATGGCAGCTGAAGTCAGAACAGGTTCTTCTCCTGGGGACTGAGGTCAGAATGTGGGCAGAAAGCAAGAGTGGACTCTCGCGTGGTTACAACTGCCCATCAGCTCTGATTAATGTCAAACTGCCGGTGTCATCATTGAACAAATAACGTTTAAGCCTAAAGCAAAGAAAACTAGCATGTTAACCCCTGAGTTTTGTTAGGAATAAATGTTGATTTTTGTTAGGCTTCTTAAAACAAGGAAAAATAGCTTCTAGATCCTCATAATCTGCTTTGAAACAGGAGCAGGGGGACTGATGTTTGGGACTGTTGAAGCAGACAGTTCTAAGACACTTCTAATACTAAAACCCAAAACTTCTATCAGTTAAACATGTCAATGGAGTAGAGAATTTTAAGAAATATTTCTTGGTGGAAAAGAGAGATCAATATTAAAAACAAAAATTGGGGGGACAAGAGCTCTGCCTTGTCTTGGAGAGAGTGCTCAGGGAGTCCTGGGCGTGTGGAGTATTGGGTTAGCTGGGATTCTTTGTACACTTACGCAAAGGGATTGATATCTTTTTTTCTTTTTTTGGTACCGGAGATTGAGCCCAGGGGTGCTTAACCACCGAGTCACATCCTCAGCTCCCCAGCCCCCTTCTAATTTATTTTTTTTATTTAGAGAAAGAGTCTCGCTGAGTTGCTTAAGGCCTTGCTAAATTACCGAGGCTGACTTTGAACTCACGATCTTCCTGCCTCCGCCTCCCTAGCCACTGGGATTATAAGCCACCATGCCTGGCTTCAAGTGATATCTTCTTATACAGTGTTAACATTTGCTTACCTCATGATTAATCATTTCATTTGATGAACATCCAGGGCTCAAGCTTCCCTCAGGTTCTATCTGGTCCCTCTTAGGTACGATGAGACTTGGTTACTCTCTTCTTCCTGAGAAGTGAGAATATGAAACTTGGAGTCAAGGACTCTGTGCCAACAGCAGATGTGCCTGGCAGGTACAGCCCTGAGCAGGGACAGGCAGGGTCCACTGATTAATCTCCAGCCCTGCGTGATAGCTCTTCTTGCTAGGCCATAGTGCTGGCACACACAGGGAATCAGCCCTTCCCATGACATCACCAGGCCCCAGTGGGTCAGACCAAAGCAGGCAGGGGAACACAAATGCTGCTCTGGTCAAACCAGCTTCTTCCCCACTGGATGAATGGAGTCAGCCAAGAGACACAGCCAGCAGGAGCGACACACTCTGAATCTTGAAGCCATAGAGAGTCAGGGCACCACCTGGTCAGTGCCAGCTGGGTCATGGAGATGCAGGGCCACCAGTGTCTTCAGGAGAATAGAGCTTCTGCAGTGGAAAATGGTAAGACAGAAGAGGCAGGAGTCACAACCCAAGACCGAGCTGTGGCCACACTTGCAGGTGAGGCTCTGTATGCATCTTCTTTGTCTGTACCATTTCTGCAGCCTGGTTTTGTTTGGTCTGTTTGTTTTCTTACTGGAGCTTTTTTGGATATTTTGCTGCTCCGTGAAACCCAAGCACCGAGCCTGCAGTAAGCGCTGGGGAAGGGATCGATGTGATCCAAAGCACAGTGTGGGGACTTCCTGAGGTCTCAGAGCTCTGCCTCCCCTATCCCCATTGCTGGCCCTTGATTACATCCTCTGTTGTTTTGGCCAAGAACGGCTTAAGCAGGACATACCAGCCGGTTTCTCTATAACAGTTTTGTAGAGAAATGAGGAAAATACTTTCATTTCCTTATCTGATGAGTTACAGGGTATTTCCACCACATGGGAAGCAATGCCTGGCTCACTTACAGGTCACATGACTGAACAAGTATTTAACAATCCACTACATGCTCAGAATATTGAATTGAGTAGGAAAGTATCTCATGCCTGCAGGAGGAGACGATCTGAGGAGACACATGGATGTGATTAGCCATTAGAGTCATCAAATTCACTTCCCTGACGTAGCTTTATTATGCATCCTCTAAATGGGTTGTGGAGAGTCCTATGGGAACACAAAGGGCTATGCGGGGCATTCTGGCTGGGAGTCAAGGAAAACTTCACACAGTGAGTACTAGCATACTGGTTCTCAAAGTGTGTTCCAGGGAACACTAGTCCCACTTGTAATTGTAACTTATCACTTGTAACTTATAACTTGTAACATTGTTTGGAAGGATGAATAAATGGAGGCACAGACCAGAGGCAAGACAAATAGATCCATGAATAAGTAAGTTTCAGAATATCAGGTTTAAGAGTTTGTCATTTCTTTACTGTAGGCCTTCTCAGAGCCTTTACTATTTGATTAAAAATTCTGAATCTGCAAAAGAGACTCATATTATGAAGCATTGCCCCCACATTAATGGTTTATAAAACTCTTTTCCTTTGAGTATTTTGTAGGGAGCAGTGTATTGCAGGTATGGATGGAAAAAATGGGTTTTGCCTATTGCTGATTGTTTGTTTTTCCCCCTCATTATCTAGAATAGCTAGAATGTCATCACTACTGTGCAAACGTGTTGATGTTTTTAATCTCTAAGCCACACAGGAAAGGCTTGCCTATAGTTTCAACAAGGACCTAGTGATAGTTCTTCCTGAAGTATTTTCTTTTAAACAAAAATTGAACCAAACTCAGTGAAATGTCTTTCCCATAGTTTTTGGATCCTCTTTCTTTTTCCAAGTTGTTTCAAGTTGCTGAAACTTTATATAATGAAATCACATTTCAAGGGCAGTAGGAAGGAAGCGCCATCCCATATGCCTTGCAGGCTCAGGGGCAGGTGGTGTGCACGGAGCGGATGGCAGCCAGGTCGCACACACCTCCTCACTTGCCTGTGCAGTCGGGCTGCCGTTAGCATTCTGGGGTGACTCCTGGGATCACGTGACTGTCTCCAGCTCCCCCGCATCCTGGGTGATGTTTGTTCAGCACAGATGAGAGAAAGTTCTTGCCTCAGAGCCAATAGCAATTCAAAGCCATGCCCATCTTGTGTCCCAGCATGTTTAAATCTAGCTGCTTCATCTGAATCTTTAGTTCTTTCCACCGTTGTATTTGTTTTCCTTCTTGCTAATTTATGAGATATGAAATGACCTTCTCTGAAGCCTTCATTTGAGGGCTCATTAAAATTCTAGAAGCTCTTTCATTCGCTTGTTCCCGCACAGGCTTTAATTTGCATGGACCAACATCACAAGAGGGCCAGGGACAGCGAGGGCCGACTTCACACAGCACTCAGCCTCCCTGAGCCCACTGCAGGTCAGCCAGCTCCGGGGGCTCAGGATGCCACTGGACACCACACTCTTGTTTCTTCTGACATATTTTATGTCACTTATTAAAGAGAGCACGGCACACATAGGAAATCACTTGTTAAAACTGCTTTTCCCTAAACATTTAATGGAAATGGGAGAAAAGGAATAAAAGGAAACCTCTATAGGAACCAACTCAGCTTTTTGGTTCTGCTGAAACTTCATGGCTTACACTTATGATTTTCAAATCTTTCATAAGGCAGGGTATAACTATGAGAACACTTATTTTTTTCCTATTGGAAATTGGAAGACACTATCCTAAACAGTTTTGCCTCCTGTAAAGTAGGAGTTTTCTGCCCCAGATTATGAATTTACCTTTCTTCACAATGTCCTATTCTTGTCTTGGAATCTTCTCTTCTTGTTCCATAGATGCCATTCTTTCCTTTAGCTCTCTGAGGACTTTAAATTGAATTACTTTCAAATAGGACTCTTTTACTGCTGTTTCTTTTTCTTATTTGTTTATTCTGTCCTCTCTGTGACAATAACTTTACTCAAATGCTGATGAGTTTTTGTGGTGCAATCATTTCTTTTTCTTCAATAGATTTCCCCAGAGGGCACCCGGACAGCAGCATCTTACTGGGCAGCTCAACCTTGACATTTTCCATGGTCACCCTGTTCATTTTAGGTCCATGAGCAATCCTTGTGTTTGGGGGCTGTGAAGACATGTAAAGCAGTACATGCTCCATCTTATACTAAAACCAGAGATGGCTTTTGTGCCTGCTCTGACTCCCCTGGGGAATGTCATATTTAAAAAATATATACTTTAAGGAATTTACCTAGATATTGCCAGACTCCATAGTCATCTTTCAGGTTTAATTTTTGCCATAGCATTTATTCACATTTTCAGACAACATCCAGCTATTGAACTGGTTATGTACTTTGTACTCACTCTCGGCTACCACCCCTGACTTCTGCACTCAGAAGATGTGTGGGCTTGAGTTCATTCAGTCTCAATTTCTTCTTCAGTGAAACTGGGATTAGTAATTCCCATCTGTGGGGTTACCATAAAGATGAGCTATTATGAAAAATAGCTGGCAGAGTGCCTGGTACACAGTAAATGCAAAGAAAAATAAGAAAGAAAGGAAGGAGAGAGGAAGAAAGGAAGGAGAGAGAGAGGGAAAAAAGGGAGAAAGTAAGGAAAGAAGGAAGGAAGGAAGGAAGGGAGGGAACTTTTCTTAACCCACATACTTACTGATTCTCTTGCTGGCCATGTCTTTTTGAACATGTAACTTTCCATCTCACAATTTTCCTTCTGCCTGAAGGCTTCCTTTCTTATAGAGAAAATTTGCTTAAAATGAACTCTTTCAGGCTTTGTACAGGGAACAGCCTTTATTTCACCTTCATTTGTAAAAGATATTGCTGAGTATAGAATTCTAGACTGACAGTTTTCTTTTAGTATGTACAGATGTTGACCCACTGTCTTCTAGCCTGCATTATCTCTGATAAGAAGTTAGCTGTCATTCTTATCTTTGTTCCTTTGTACATAATCTATCTTTTGTTCCCCTCTGGCTGCTTTTAAGATTCTCCTTTATCATTATTTGAAAGCACTTTGGTTATCATGTGCCTTTCTCAAGGCACTTGAGTTTGAAGTTTGGCTGAACTTCTTGGATCTGCAGGTTTATTGTTCATAGTTTGGAAATTTTTTAATCTATTATTTGTTCAAATATTCTTTATCCATATTTCTCCTTCTGGGCTTCCAGTGATATGAATATTAAATTGCTGGAGGCTGTCCCACTTCTCATTGATACCATTTCAGTTTGCCTCTTGGGTTCCCCTGCTGGTTCCTGCCACTTGCCCTCCCAGTTGCTCATCCTCACTCCAGCAACACCTCTCCTGCTGCTAATTCTTTCCAGTGTATTTGCCAACAGGGCAGCTTTCACCTCTGGAAATTGATTTTGCATCATTTTTAAATATTTTCTTCTACTTAACCTGGTTTTTTTTCTCTTTGAACTTATGGACTTTAGTCATAATAATTGTTTTAAAATTCTTGTCTACTAATCAATATTACTTCTGATGCTTTGCAATTGATTGTTTTTGTCCTTATTATGAGTTCATTATCTTCTTTGCATTCCTGATGATCTTGGTTAGACACAAGACATTGTGAATTTTACCTTATAGTAACTACAAAATCTTTGATGAAGATTTTTAAAGACCTTTTTTTAAAAAAAAACACATAATAATCCTACGTATTTATGGAGAATAATAGAATATGTCAATATTTATATGCCATTTATAATGATAGATTAGGGTTACTAACCCACCTGTCACTCAAACAACTATCACTTCTTTGTTTTGAAAATATTCAAAATTCTCTTTCCTAGCTTTTTTTCCTAGCTTCTTTGAAATAGACATTTAATTGTTGTTATTATAGTTCCCTTACTGTGCAATAGATACTAGAAGCCATTCATCTTGTCCTGCCTGCCCTCTGGTACCTGTTAACCAGTAGCTAGATATTTTTGTATTGCCCTTAACATTCTTGAGCATTATCCCTGAGAGACAGTGAAGCTATTTGGAAGCAGGTTGGTCCTTCCAAGACTTGCTTTTAATTTTCATTAAGCAGAAAGAATAGCCTTTAGTCTACCACACTGCCCACCTGCCCCCCGAATGGAATCAACACCCTTCTGAGTTCTCTGCACAACAACCCACAAGGCACAATGGGGCAAGAGCATGGGTTAACTCTCTATGTTCCTTCCCATTTCCCCTCCCCCACCTATGGCTGTTCTGCACTTGCAGGCACTGGGAACACTCAGCAGAAGCTGGAGGGGAACAGCCACAGATCTCCAGAGATAACTCTCTTCTGCCGCTTTCTC